TTCGGGGGGGGGGGGGGGCACTCTACTAAATCTGTTCATGCTTCTCTGGCTTTTTGGCATTAAGCAACTGTTTCCAAGATTTGCATGCCTTCCATCTGGTCTTCTTTTCACACGTTCTGTAAGTTCTACAAGTTGGACACAAAGGCTCATCTGGTGCCAGCTTTGGTCATAAGGTCCTTTTAATCTGGCTTTTTGAGCTGCAGGCAGTCCTGAGTTCTCGGTTGTTATCTTGGGCCTGTTAGCATTTGTTTGCTGTATTGTCCACCCCTCAGTTGGATGTCCCAAAGATTAAAGATTTCCTGTGTCCTTCAGTGAGGTGAGGCGAGAAAGAAAATAGGATTTTTGTATACATGATACAATCCTTTTCATGGAGGCTATGCAGTGGTGTTTATAATCATGCTCTCTGTACTGCTGTGCTACAAAACAGCATGATGGTAGTAGGAGGGGTATCCTGAGCTGGCCTACAGCTTTTTATTTTGTTGCCGGTGTCCAATTCTCCTGTAGAAGGATTTAGGCCCTGCTGGCTGTAAAAACACCTGAACAATGCCGGCATCCAATCAGATTGTTCAGGTATTTTGACAGCCAGCGGGGCCGACTAGCAAGATACTGAAGCTTGGCCCAGCGGGCGATTTCTCCATCCACACAGTTTACCGTAGATGGAAGAATCTGTTGCACTTTTTCCATCTGACCATAGAAAACCTGCAGATAATCAATAGGTGTATGGCCAGCTTAACTCTAGTTAAAGTTTTATGAAGTTACAGCAACAGATTTTTTTTTTTGCTTTTGGAAAAAAGTATTAAACAATTTTTGTGTGTTTTGCCCAGCAAGGGAGCGGTGTCCATTTTATTGAAGCTGTCAGATGCACCGCGATGACTTTGCCAGCATGACATGACCCTAAGACACGTTTGCATGCATTGTGTGCAGCCTACAATAGTTGGCATCGATACAAAAGGAACAATACAAAAACAAATGTCTGTCTTATAAATATAGCTGTAGCTCCCGGCATTGTAACAAAGATGCCACCACTTTTCTGGAGTTGAAAATTAAAAGCAAATGCTTTAGGCAACAGTACTGTTTACATTTGTTCTTTTAAAATGTTAAATGTATCTTAACCCCTTCGTGAGTGACGACGTATCATAAAAATTTGCAACTACCACCATTTTATTCTATAGGGTCTTGGCATTCAGAAAATATATAATGTTGGGGGGTTTTAAGTCATTTTTAGGCCTAAAATTTGGAATATAACATGGGTACAAAAAATGAAAAAAAGGCCTCAGTCATGAAGGGGTTAACCTAAAAGCAAAAATGTAATACAATACAGCTTGCCAATCCTTGAAGGGCTGCATTCGTTTTTTCCCCCTTTATTTTCATCTGGTGATCCAGCCCAGGAGTCTTACTTTTCAACTTCTTTTAAAGGATAAGTTCACCTTTTGCAAAAATTTAAGAAAAGCATAATTAACCCCTTCATGACTGAGCTAGTTTTCAGGTTCTGTTCATAAATGACTGACACATTTTTTACATTTTTGCTGTGTGGTTCTTCCACGTCAGTAATATACTTTCTTACTAAATGTACCCACACATATTATATATTGTTTTTTAGAGGACAGATAGGGCTATATAATTATATCACATATGTGTACCTAACCCCTCACTTAGTTTGAATAAAATAAAAAAACTTTTTTTTTTCTTGTCAGTTTATATCAAGCAATCACTATGACAGCTTGATAAATTAACTTTTTTATTTTATTTTTGGCTATTAGGCTGATCCAAACTTAGGAACAGCTAATAATAACCTTAGAGACTGATCCTGACTTTAGTCAGATTCAGATCTCACTAAACGCTCTTTGATCGTGCCTAGACGATCAGAAATTATACATTTCACTCAAAAGATACATTGTATCCTTTCAGTAAAATGTATCTAAACATCGGGCTCTCGAGCTGTCAAAACAAATAGCAGAGAGGTGAGGTGAGTCACTGCTGCCTCTCTGCTATTTTGAGCTGTCAAATACGGGATCGCAAATTGCGGTCCTCTATTTGCATGTAACGGCTTCATTCTTTCATTAATGAAAGGAAGAAGCTTTTACAAAAAGCTTAATTATTTCATTAATTAATGCCTCAATACTGAGACATTAATGAATGACTGTTAAATGCTGAGAATCAGCAAATACCGGCATTACAAAGCCTGATATAACTCGTCACGTACAGTGTACGTGGCCAGTCATATAGGCACAAAGTGACAAGACGTACACTGTACGTCTCCCGTCACGAAGGGGTTAATAATATATACAAAATATTACTTTCTTTAATAATTGCATCCAAGCCTGGAAAACATTGCAATTATGATCACTCGATCACAGCTGCAAAGCTCAGACTTCTGCACATTCTCCCCCAGGCAGAGCTCGTACTGAGGTACAGAGTTTCAGTTAAGAGAGACGGGGAAAGGACGGCTGGACTTCAAACTGCATTAAAGCACATCATACGGCGTCCAGCCGTCCTCCCTCTAGATAGAGCTGCCCATATTCCCGCATCTACCTAGAGGGAGGACGGCTGGATGCTGATTTAGTGCAGTTTGAAGTCCAGACATCCTTTCCCCGTCTCTCTTAACTGAAACTCTGTACCTCAGTACGAGCTCTGCATGTATGAAAATGTGCAGAAGTCTGAGCTTTTGCAGCTGTGATTGAGTGATCACAATTGCAATGCTTTCCAGGCTTGAATGCAAATATTAAAGAAATGCATATTTTTTATATACAGGCAGTCCCCGACATACGGACAATCCGTACTTACGAACCGGGGTCCACAGTTCTCCTAAATGT